TAATTAACCAGACGCAATTACACTGCACTTGGCAAATTGCAGCTTTGCCCTCTGTGAAAGAGGCATGTTTTATTTATACTTCCTCCCTTGGGGCTTTTTGATTGATCACATATCGCGTTCGATAGTTAAAGGTGAAATCCTGACACAGACCTCACCTAGGTTCCCCTCAGGGTGCTCTGAGCAAGAAATGACCTCCTGTCTGTACCACAGTGTGATCTGCACAGCTGAGCAATCACAGTGCCTCCATCCCAGACACATCTGCGGAAGACCTCTTCTCAGGTGGCAGAATCAATACCACACCCTGAATTGGATGCCTCATCTCCCCTGCCTTGCCTTTTCTAATTTCAGAACTGCTGTAAGCCAACACATGAACAGAACATTGAGTTCACAGAGGGTTAGACATTAAAAGTAGAGGCGCCAGTCATTCTATCTCAGGGAATCTGGGATGTTGAGGATGCTGAGTGAATACTGTCTGTGCATTACTCTTCAGAGCAAGAGGCAGGAGAAAATGGGCAGCCTGGCAATTCCGAGTGGGTGTGATATGTGCAGTCAATGGAGACAGTGAATAGAAATGCCTTAATGACAGAAGCAAAGCTTTCTAGTTCAGAAGGATTTCCTCCCCAACATGATCATTGTATGGATCATGACAATTTCTGTTCATTTTTGGTTGTTTATTTGATTGTTTTGTTTTGTTTGCTTATATGCATTGGTATTTTGACTACATGAGGGTGTCAGTTACCTGGGACTGGAGTTAGACAGCTGTGAGGTGCCATTTGGGTGCTGGGAATTGAACACAGGTCCTCTGAAAGAACTGCTAGTACTCTTAACTGCTAAGGCATCTCTCCAGCACCAACTGTTTGATGGTTTTATATACAGGGTCTTACTATGTAGCCTAAGCTGTCCTGGAACATATAGAACAGTCTAGCCTTACTTCAAATTTAGGATTCTTGTGCCTCGGTCTCTGGAGTGCTATGGTTATAGGAGTGTACTACCATATGTTAGATCCCCGGAAAACTCAGGTACCTGGGGTCCCAGGCCACGTTCGTGGTCACCCCAATCACCAGGCAGATTCGAGAGCTTGCTGCAAACTGCACGAGGATTTATTGTAATTTAACGAGCTAACCCCATGTTAGCTCAGGTCTTTCATCCATCTGCCATGGGGGATAGCTAGCAAAAGACGGCTCCTAGGGGCTCCCGAGAGATCTTATAGGACAGTGTAAGGGGAGTGTCTAGGGGTACGCACAGGCTCACGATTGGTGTGCCTCCATGCTTGGAGGGCTTGCCCTGTGTTGATTGGTCAACTGGTTGTTATGGCCCATAGGCCCTCCCAGGGTGGTTGCTATGCTCTCTATGTCATTGCTGTGCGCTTGTCCGTAAAGCACATCCAGGGTCGTAAAGCATAGCACCATCAGCTAACTTCTGATTGGTTCCTTGTCATGAGACAGCCATCTGACTTTCTAGTGTCTAGAACGAGGTCATAGATAGAAGCACGTGTTCGACTGTTATGGCTGCCAAAAGGGAAGTTGGTCCCTTCATTCCCCCATTTTCTTTTTTGGAAATTCCAATCATGGAATTGCTGTCTTTCTAGCGCCCCCATCAGGGAGTGCTAGATATTGGCATCCCCATGCCAGGCCTTCCCTCCTGACTTAGCATTTTAACCAGGGAAAATGGGCGGTGAAATTCTTTTCCAAACTGCTTCCTGCTGACTTTGGGACGAAGTTAGGGACCCCAGAAGGTTGAAATGCTAGTCAAAAGCAAAAAGGAATTTAGGCAATGGGGAATCCATCAGGAGCTTCTGGTTAGCAGACATTGTTGTAGAGACAGGGGTTGTCCACATCAGCTGGACTGGTTCATATCCATAGCAAGTCCAGGGCTCGAAGTCTACTTAGAACAGCCTGTAGTCAGCAACTGACATTCAGATGTTGCCAGAAACAGAAACCTGTTTAAGACTTGTTTAAACTAGGAACAGAGGTTAAAACTTATTTACTGAAGCCC